AGGGAATTAATTTATTAATAACCTCCTGCAGCTATAGTTTTAACTCAAACATTAAACTGTGACACTAAAACAGGAACTAAAGCCTCCCTAACAACTGAGGGACTTTTAAACAATAAAACCCACCAACTTCTGCATCCAAAACTAAATCCTCATCCCTGTCACTTTCAAGAGATAAACACTAGGAACTGTGAATCTTGACACAACTCAAAGTATCCTGAGCATGTGACACTGCAGGAAGATCTGAGGCTCAGCCAATCTTCTGAGTATTACCACTTACTGCTTACAAATACGGAGATTTAAGAACTACATTTAAGAAAGGAAAAAAAAAAACAAAACACAGTTTTTGCTTTTTCAAAACCCATCCAACTTAAAAGGGTAACAGTCAGAATGTCCCAACACCACTGAGGACCAGCACCAGCTGTCCAGCACCCAGGTTTCAGATTTGACAAATCCCTAACGCTCCAGAGAGACAGTGGCTGGAGGGTGGTGGAACAAACAGAACCCTAGAAGCCTCGCCATGGATCAAAAAGCAGCAGAAGGTAAAATGAAGGCAATCCTTCCTAGCTGCTGCAATATTGGAAAATAAAGTATAAAGAGTTTTAAAAGAAAATAAAACTATAAAGAAAATAAACTATAAATAAAAAAAAAATCAAAAGGAGTCTTTGTTCTTCCTCAGAATCATCTGAGGATCCCATATCGAAACATACAGAGAGGCTCATTTCCCAATCCTAAACCAAGTAAAATCACTCATATCCTGTCTGTTCTATAAAAATGTATGCAATTCTACTTCGTTTGAAGATCTGTTTCATAACTACAACTCCTTAGAGTTAAACTTCTTTCTTATTGTGAAGCTCCTAAATTCTCCTAATTCTGAATTTAAGCCCTACTTCCAACTAATTAATAAGCCACTTCATCTTGCAGCTCTTTTGGCTACCATCCTGCCAAGAAACAAGGGCAATCTATGTAACCACTTCTCTGCACAACTAAGTGACTTTAGTAGGCAATAAACAGAAATTTAGAAAAGCCAATGATCTTCCTGAAGTACATTGATATTGAGTAATTCTGGGAATCATTATGGACTGTTTAAAAAAAAAAAAAAACCAAACATGACAATAATATCATTACCAGTCTTAATAAACTCATTCTGAGAGACAGAAAGATCTAGAAAGGTGAAAAGACACTTCTATCTGATAAACACCTGTGACACATTCACACTGGCACAATAGTGTCCTAATTACTACTCACCTGCTACCTGACCTTTGCTGAACCCAGTTGCTCCTCCTCCCCATCCTGCCTGCCTCACATCATCAGGGTCATAATTTGCAGCTGATGACCTGCAAGAAAATTCAGACTTAAAACACTGAAAAATTCCACACAGTTGCTACCATGGCTTTGCTTGGGGCAGGCGCAACTAGGCTGCCTCATCAGTCTTCTTGCACCAAGAGAACCCACCAAGCTGATACGCACGCTCCCTTGCTGTAGCACAGGGCTGTATGACTTTGCCTCTGCCTTCTTCTACTAGAATGATATCCTATGACACATACAGTTAAACATAGAATCATGGAATCGTTTAGGTTGGAAAAGACCTTTAAGATCATCAAGTCCAACCATTAACCTAACACTGCCATCCCACCACTAAATCATGGCTCTAAGCACCTCATCTACCCTTCTTTTAAATACCTCCAGGGATGGGGACTCGACCATCTCCCCACAAAACAAGAAACAGTCAACAGTGTACCTTCCTCTCCTCCCCCAACCATCCTACAACTTTAAAAGCATTGAAGTGATAAACTCATAGGGTCAGGTATTGTTCAAGGCAGTTCCCAGCACATCTTGTGAGCGCTCTGAGAACAAAAGATGATAGGCACAGCGATTGGGATAGGAAAGAAAAAAAAAATCTTAATTTGTTTCCTTGGTTCTACAAAAACAACCACCAGAAGAAACAAGTTGTCAACTTAACCACTCAGCTTTCAGCTGTCCCAACTCAAAGAATTCAGGCCTTATAACTCACAGGGTGTACAGGCATAACCACAAGCTGCCCATGCAGGGCTTTATCAGCGTTGAAACTAAGGCTGAGGTGAAGCCTGTCCCAGCCACAGCCCCACCACAGCCCGCGGGTGAAGGGACACCCACGCTGCCCGCCAGCTCCTGGAGCCCAGGCAGCCGTGGCCCTTGGGTGCCGCTCAGCCCAGCCCCAAGGCGGGTACCGAGGGCGAGGGAAGGCTGCACCCCTCCGCGCCGCCCACCTACAGGTGTGAGAATCTGCCCCTTTAAAAGATGGCGGCCGCAGGCAACCGTTAGGAAGCGCACGAGGACGTTTTTCCCTTAACAAAAATGGCTGCTACAGAAGGCGGGGAAACTCGCTACGCGCAGGAGTTCCGCCACCTCCCCCAATCAGCGGCCGCCA